TCCTGAGACATCATTTGGTGGAAAAATGTTGGCAGTTTTTTCAGGCTAGGAGAGTGAGTTTTCTGTGTGTGACAGACTACACTGTACATGTACGTATAAAAAGAGACTAAGAGAAACTGCCCTAAGTAGAGATTAAAAGGAGTGTGGAAAAGTTTTAAACGACTCTTAAAACTTAATAATCTGGCAGACTTACCGAAAGACGTGTCATTTCTTTCTTTAATTCACCTATCAGCATCCGAATTTCACCTAAGTTTTCTATATCTTCCATTTGCGTGGTAACTCCATGAAACCTGGAAAGACTGAAAAGGGCAATCAAGTTTGAGGTCATGTGTGTTTAATGGTAACCCAATACTGATTTGAAGAGGTACAATGTATCTGTGATTCCCTACTGCATGGACTGTTAACACTTAAAGACCGATCTTTTTAAAAAAGCATATAATGTTTAACTTTTTGATAATTTCGAATAGGATTTATTGTGATATTTTTATAAATAAGACTGCAAATAGGTTTTTAATTTATTCATATTTTATTACCAGTGGGATCTTTTTAATTATTTTAATGTTATGAATTGTAAAGCACTTTGGTCAATTAGTGGAGTTAGCGCTATAAAAATTATGTTATTATTATTATTATTATTAATTGAAAACAACACTTATGCAAGATAATAGACGAAAATAAAGAGTATTATGGCGTTTTTTAATAAATCCTTCATGTATAAAGTTACAGACAACAGTGATAAACTTTGAAAAACTAATAAGCTTTTAAAAACCCAAATAAAATTATTACGGCAATCTGCATTTGAAAATCTTCCTCAATTTTGCCCATTTGTACCTTCTTTTGGATATTCGATAATTGAACCTTTCTTCAAAATTAGGCTTTTTGTGTATTTCATTCTTCTGTTACTTAAATCTTTACTTCAATATTGTTTAAAAGTGGTTATTTGTACATTTTACAAACTCAGACTGTTGGACAGTTTCCAGTAGCCTGTGAACAGCAAACGTATTTCCTGTCGTCACTTCTTCAGGCTAAGTTTCTAGTGGCTGAATTAAATTTGCTAAATTGCAGGACACAGTCCCTTCAAGTGGATTCTCTCATTACAGAATGTAATTTTTAAGATCTCCTTACTAGTATCCACAGAAATTGACGAGATGTTGTTTGATATTAGGAAGAGGTGTATTGTAAACCTCACACAACTCCAGGTACTGATCAACCACATCCAAAACTGTTGGCTGTTTCTTACAAAACAGTGCTGGATTGGCATCTAAAGAGTCTTTGAAAAATAAACAGAACACAATATTATTAAAAGACATGAATTATTGTGGAAACCTTAAGTCAGAAAAGGTTACAGGCACATTGTTTAGTTCCCAGACCAGTTAAATATACATGTACTTTCATTCTAAGAATGTGATGCAGGTATGTGCAATACAAGTTGCTTCAAGAAAACATGCCCCCTTACTGTCTGAGTGGCAACAACAGCTTCACAGATCACACATCAATGTACATTTATGTAAGGAAACAGTCTTCATCCTAGAGCAACGAATATGGCTATTCTTATTGATTTAATATTTTTGCTTTGGCTATTTGTCGACAGTCTAGAGAAACCTAACAAGCAAGTAATGAATAACAATTAGCTGCAGAGGTCTGTGGCTATTATCTATAACATGAATTGAATAAGAAAAATGAATATCTAGTTGTCAAAGGGAAAATAGATTGGCAAGCAAAAATGTTGAGGCAGGAGCAATGGTCCTCAAAACTGAAAAGTAAAATTGAAGTCAAGTTTCCAAATTGTAGTCTCATTTCTTGAACAATCCACTGGGCTTTGCAAAGTAACTTTTATGGGAAACTGTTAAGTCTTGCATTTTAAAACAAAAGAAAAATGTTTCATCAGGATGTCCCCTGAAATGTTACATATATACCTAGATCTTGGAGCTAAGATACATGTACCTTCTTGACAATTCTAACACTAGAACAGATGCTGATGACTGAAATAATCCTTACCTGACACAGCTATTCCTTGAACTCCAGTGTATTCTATGCATCTATCAATTTCCCACAAACTAGATGAGCCCACATCAAGGATGAATGGCACAGAAACAGAGTCACTAGACAAAATGAAAATTAAGCAACAAGACATGAAATATTTCTCTTATAATAATATTATTCCATACAACTGTCAATAATATGTACCAAAAAAGAAACAACTTTACATGTCCCCAAAACTCTGGGGAATATTTTGGAGAACAAACATGACATTTAATGTAAAAGTTCCAGCAAAAAAAATTGTTAAAATTTGGAGGCTGCCACTAAGAAAATAGCTGGGGTCATGCTTATACATGTACATGTACAAGCCAGAGGAAATACGCTGCCCCTGGCCCTTAGTGACACCCATATTATTTGACTGGGTTGTTTCCACAAGCAACAAGGGGCAGGCCATGGAAGGAAACATGCATTTGGTTTTTTTTCATCAGTGGTCTTCAAGGTACTCTCATTACCAGATGGTCTTGACTGCATCCCAGTCATTTTTGGTGACAAGAAAATTAACCCTCTCTGGTCTGTGTTTGTGTAACAGTATAATCTAAAAAAAGGAAAAAACAAAATGAAGCTAAACAGCAGTTATAAATACCCTCATCAAATGAGCAAAAATTAAAAAATATGTTTTAAAGCCCATCTGAAATCCTCGAACCTTAAAAGAATATTATAGCTGTCCTTCACTTAAAATTACCTGACAGCCTGCTTCTTGAAGGGATTTTCCTTTCCTTATAGTATCATCAACTGTTTGCCGACTAAAAGGAAGCTTACAAAGAAGAGGTGTTTCACACTCTTGGTTGATTTGTTGGATACAGCTAACCCAAGATTTCCATCTGTCATGTTCATCTGTTGAGCACGAAATAGAACTGGAGCTGAAGTCACAGACGTCAACTGCATCACAAATGTTTCTTAGTTCCTTCACCGCTTGCACAAGACTGTCCATATTCCCTGGTTGCAGCTAACAAAATTATCAATCAATTATTACTCAGCATAGTAAAGCTTTAACACTAAATGTACGGTTTTTTCAGTCTCCAAATAATTTAAATCAAAGCTAACCTCAGCTCCTTTTCATTGGGGCAGTGGTGAGAGCAATCGCCTCTACCAGCCCGTAACCCAGAGTGAGCAACTCCCATACTAGGCCTATGTCACAGCTTTTTTACAGACCAGTTTAGGGCAGTTTGTTCCTGCTAAAATAGAATCTCCACCATGTCTATGAGCGCATTCAAAGTATAAGATATCAAAAAGGAAAACTAAACGTTATTAAAAGCCAAAAAGTATCATTTTTAGGTCTGTAGGTTTTGCTGACTGGTTTGTGGAATTTAGAAGATATTCAAAATTCATGCAAAGACTGTTCTAAAAATAAACTGTTCCGCGAAATCGCTGCGACACAGGCGCATGGAAGTTGCTCGCTCCGGGTTATGGGCTCCTGTTGCCTCCCACCAGTGTTGGAGTTTGTTGTTAGTTCTGTTTCTTGTTCTAAGAGGTTTTTCTCCAGGTACTTGGGTTTCCGCTCACCTCAATCAGGAAAGGTTAATGAAGAACCACTATGTGGATGTACTGCTACTGAATTGTTATTTATTTATTTATTCATTTACCTATCCATCTATTTATTTATTCATTTGTTATAATTATCAATTGACTCCTAGTCAAGCACAGTATTTTTACCTCTGATTTTCCTGAACCTCCTAGGCACTTGGTCTATTTCTGTGTGGGGTGGGGTGGGATGGTTTTGATGAGTTGAA